TCATTATGTAATATTAAAAGCACTAGAAGACCCTGTAAGCTCTACTCTAGAAGCATTAGGAAACTATTAAGGCATTACTTAATTAACAGACCCTAAAGAATCTAGCATGTCTGGAAAGGAGAGCTAGTCACATTTTAAGGCAGTCAAAAGAGTCATTTTGTCCACTTTAAGGCTCTATTGTAACTATAATTTATTTCATGCACACATTATTCTGGATACCTGAAAGATCCATCAATTGGCCAATTATGGAAATGATATAATTTTAATAAAACAAATGGACAGTTTAGAAACAGATTGTAACACTCCTACTGCAGTTCTTTTGAATATAACTGCATACATCTTATTCCTTTGGAGAATTCTTCATTATTAAGTTTCTAATATGAAATTATAACTGAAATAAATTACAAAAGCTATTTGGCCAACAGTACCAAATATATAGTCTCTATTCAGAACAGTGCAACAAGAACTGTTTTCTTCATTAGCATTCATTCATTACCTAGTTTAAAATCTAATTCAGCCATAATGGGGCTCAAGTTTACACTTCAAATAAAGCCTAAGCAGTCATTCAGACACAAGTTTCAACCCAATGTTTTTACCAATATATTTTACCTTAATTATAAGTAGTAAGGAGACTAACCCACTCATTTCTGTTAACCCTTTACTTTTAATAATCCACACATACAGTAAAGTGAAACCAGCAGAAATGAAGATAATTTAGTTTCTTTCTTTCTTTTTTTTTTTTTTTTTTTGAGACAGGGTTTGGTTTCTCTGTGGCTTTGAAGGCTGTCCTGGAACTCACTTTGTAGACCAGGCTGACCTCATAGAGATTCACCTGCCTCTGCCTCCCAAGTGGTGGGATTAAAGGCGTGCGCCACCAACGCCCGGCCTTTAGTTTCTTTTTTTTTAAATCCAGATTCTGCTAACTTATAAAAGGTACAGAAGTTCAAACATTTTAAAATTAAAACTCACTTGTGTTCACAAGGGCAGAGCTAAATAAAACAGAAAGGCAAAAATATGTCTAGGATCAGAAATAGCTTTCAATATCTTCATTATATTTACAAAACCTCACTGGAAATAATCACAATTCAGGAATAGGATCTTGCAAATCTTCCTTTCTATTTTTATAATATATCTTATTTTTAGGATTTAGTAAAAGTGTGTCATTTGTTATAATTTTATTCAGACAGAACACTTAGCTATATTACTAGTTCTTATATGAAAAATATTTTAGAATTAACTTTAAAGTTCACAGTGATTTTTTTCAAAAAATGCAAATAATTACCAATTAGAAAGATATTGAACGCCAATATAAGTCACTGTAAGGCTTTTCATAGTATAAGTTCAGTGTATGTATATGTGTGCATGGACACTCAGTCGAGACTTCATAAACTTGGAGTCTATAACAATGGGACTAAGAGGACGTAGGTGTCACTTTCTGAAATTGTTAATTATTAGATTGTTTATACAGTATAACACTTCCCCTTTCAATGCTTATAGATAACTATAAACAGATTCTAAGTAACTTACCTTACTGAATGGCCATAATATTTCTGGAATACCTCTAAAGGTATTATCTCCCTTGATCTGGGGAAGGAATGTATCAATACAGGCATTACGTTAGTAATTTGGAAAGATACTGTATTATTATTTATTTTTATTTTTCATGTGCATTGGTATTTTGCCGGTATGTATGTCTGTGTGATGGTATAAGATTCCCTAAAGCTGGAGTTATAGACAGTTTTGAACAGCCATGTGGGTGCTGAAAATTGAACCTGGGTCCTCTGTAAGAACAACTAGTGCTCTTAAGTGCTGAGTCATTTCTCTCTAAACCTGAAAAAGTTTTTGTTTTTTTTTTTAAGATTTATTTATTTGACAAAATTCAACAGCCCTTCATGATAAAGGTCTTAGAGAGATCAGGAATAACAGGAACATACCTAAACATAATAAAAGCAATATACAGCAAACCAACAGCCAACATCAAACTAAATGGAGAGAAACTCAACGAGATTCCTCTAAAATCAGGAACAATACAAGGCTGGACACTCTCTCCATCTCTTCAATATTGTACTTGAACTTCTAGCTAGAGCAATAAGACAATAAAAGGAGATCAAGGGGATACAAATTGGAAAGGGACAGGTCAAACTTTTACTATTTGCAGATGATATGATATACATAAATGACCTGAAAAACTCTACCAGGGAACTCCTACAGCTGATAAACACCTTCCACAAAGTGTCAGGATACAAAATTAACTCAAAAAAATCAGTAGCCCTACTATATACAGATGATAAATGGGCTGAGAAAGAAATTAGAGAAACATCACCTTTTACAATAGCTACAAACAACATAAAATATCTTGGGATAATTGCTAACCAAACAAATGAAAGACCTGTATAGTAAGAACTTTGAATCTTTAAAGAAAGGAATTAAAGACGATACCAGAAAATGGAAAGATCTCCCATGCTCCTGGATAGGTAGGATCAATGTAGTAAAAATGGCAATCTTGTGAAAAGCAATCTACAGACTCAGTGCAATCCCTATCAAAATCCCAGCACACTTCTTCACAGATCTGGAAAGAACACTTTTCAACTTTATATGGAAAAACAAAAGACCCAGGATAGCCAAAACTACCCTGTACAATAAAGCAACTTCTGGAGGCATCACCATCCCTGACTTCAAGCTCTATTATAGAGCCATAGTCCTGAAAACAGCTTGGTATTGGCACAAAAGTAGACAGGTAGACTAATAGAATTGAATTAAAAACCCTGATATTAACCCACACACCTACAATCACCTGATTTTTTACAAAGAAGCTAAAGTTATACAATGGGAAAAAAAGAAAGCATCTTCAACAAATGGTGCTGGCATAACTGGATGCGGACACGTAGAAGATTGCAGACAGATCCATATCTATCGCCATGCATTTGGACTTAAGTCCAAATGGATCAAAGGCCCCAACATAAATCCAGCCACACTGAACCTCTTAGGAGAGAAAGTGGGAGGTACCCTTGAATGAATTGGTACAGGAGACTGCTTCCTGAACATAACAACAGTAGCACAGACATTGATATCGACAACTAATAAAAATGGGACCTCCTGAAATTGAGAAGCTTCTGTAAGGTAAAGGACAAAGTTAACAAGACAAAATGGCAGCCCACAGAATGGGAAAAGATATTCACCAACCCCACATCTGACAGAGGGCTGATCTCCAAAATATATAATGAACTCAAGAAGCTAGCCACCAAAACACCAAACAATCCAATTAAAAAGTTGGGTGCAGAACTAAATAGAGAATTCTCAATAGAGGAATCTAAAATGGCTGAAAGACACTTAAGAAAGTGCTCAACATCCTTAGTCATCAGGGAAATGCAACTCAAAACACCTCTGCGATACCATCTTACACTGGCCAGCATGGCTGAAAAACACCAATGGCAGTCAATGCTGGAGAGGATGTAGAGAAAGAGGAACGCTCCTCCATTAAAGGTGGGAGTGCAAACTTATGCGACCACTTTGGAAATCAGTATGGAGGTTTCTCAGGAAAATGGGATCAGTCTAACTCAATATCCAGCAATTCCTCTCTTGGGCATATACCCAAAGAATGCAAATTCATACAAGGACATATGTTCAACTATGTTCATAGCAGCATTGTTTGTAATAGCCAGAACCTGGAAGCAACCTAGATGCCCCTCATCTGAAGAATGGATGGAGAAACTGTGGTATATTTACACAATGGAGTACTACTCAGAGGGAGAAAAAAACAAAGAAACAAACAATGAATCTTGAAATTCACAGGCAAACGGATGGAACTGGAAGGAAACATCCCGAGTGAGGTAACCCAATCACAGAAAGACAAGCAGGGTATGTACTCACTCATATATGGATATATAGAGCAAAGGATTACCACACCACCAGAGAAACTAGGAAACAAGGAGTACCCTAAGAGAAGAATGCATGGTTACTGAAGAAGGGGGGGGGGGGGGGGGAGAAGAACCCCTGAGCAAATTGGGAGCACAGGGGTTGGGAGAAGCGGGAGAGGAGAACATAAGAGAACAGGAGGACTGAGACAGGGGAGGAATAGAGGAGGGCAAGAAAGGAGATTCCTTGATAGAGGGAGCTAGTATAAGCTTGGAGAGGGGTCTGACACATGGGAATAGTTAGGGGCCCCACAAGGATGACCCCAACTATGAATCTAGGCAGTGGTGGAGAGGCTGCCTTTGATGCCCTTCCCCTAAAATGAGATTGATGACTACCTTGGTTGCCATTCCTACAGCCTTTATCCAATAGCTGACAGAAGCAGAAACAGGTACCCACAGCTAAATACTGAACCATACTCCTGGAATACAGTTGTGGAGAGGGAGGAGGGATGAGCAAAGGACTCAAGACTGGAGAAATTAGCAGAAACAGTTGACTTGACCTAGTGAGAGCACAGGGACCCCCAGGTGTAAAGCTGGGGAACCAGCATTGGACCGAACCAGGCCCTCTGAATGTGGGTGCCAGCTAGGAGGCCAAGGCAGTCTATGGGACCTCTAACAGTGGAGCCAGTGTTTATCCCTAGAGCACAAATGGACTTCGGTAGCCTATTTCCTATGGAGGGATACTATTGCAGCACAGATACAAAAAAGAGGGGCTAGGCCCTCTCTTTAAATGATGTGATAGTTTGATGATCCCCCATGGAAGGCCTCACTATCCTTGGGGAGTGGGTTGGGGGGTTGGTGGGGAGCATGGTAGGATGGGAAGTGTAGGGGATGGGGGGATTGATATGTAAATAAGAGTGCTTCTAAAAATAAAAAATAGAAAAAATATTTATTTTTTTGTGTATGAGTACTCTATCTGCATGTATGCCTTTATGCCAGAAGACAGCACCAGATCCCACCATAGATGGTTGTAAGCCGCCATCTGGGTCCTGGGAATTGAACTCAGAACCTCTGGAAGAGCAGCCAGAGCTTTCAATGGCTTAGCCATCTCTCCAACCTTGAAAAAAATATGCTCTTAAATTTATATAAAATGAAAAACAATCTGCCAGAGATTCACCCCAAGCTTGAATGAGGATGACTTTCTGGTCATACAGTTTATTACCCAATTGAATCAAACCAGAAAAAAGGAAAAAATGTGAGACGACTTATAAAGGAGAAAACTGGTCTTGAAATAATCTTCCAAGAAACAAGAGATCAGTGGACGAATATCAGGAAAATACAGTAAAGTCAGAGTTAATAGTGGCTTATTTCACTAAAGAACCTATCACCTTTCCTGACCCTTCCTTATGGCTGTATGACATTTCTCCAAGATGACAATTTGTATCTTAACAAAGCTAACCTAATTCAAGACCAGATTTTTCAGCACACCACACAGCCACCAAATCTGTTGCAGTATCTCTTGGTTTTTCTCCACTTTTACACACACATACGCATATACACATGCCATGGCGTACATGTGATCAGAGGACAACTTGCAGGAATTGTCCTTCTCCTCCTACCATGTGGGGTCCAGGAACTCAGGAACTGAGTGCAATTCTTCAGGCTTGGTGGCAAGTGTCTTTACCCACAAAGACTTCTTGATGGCCCTGGGACAATATCTTTAGGTCACAAGAAAATAACTCCAAGAACTTAAAATGATTCAGCCTTCATTTCCTGCTTAGATGTACCTTTACTGTGCTTCTGAAGATGGTTCTTAATTGTTATACTCTCAAATTTACACGCTATGATTTTTGTTTTGTTTTTGCAAAATCTAGAAAAGTAAGAAACAACCTGAAAATGGTGTTTTTTTCAGTTGCAGACTTGTTATTCAAACAGGTTAATATAAGAGAGTGCTTGTTACTAACAGAGAACAGTGGTGGCATCTTGGTGTTTATAATTAAAAATGAAGTTGACCTTGTATTGAAACGTCTCCTTTCTGTTTCAATTTTAGGTAAATATTAAGCTACTGGTTCTCCTATGATCTAAGACTAAGATGCTAATTTGTAGGCGAGCAAACTGGCTGTCTGAGAGACAGAGAGACTGAAAGAAGGGAGGAGCCTCCAGAGGTGGAAGTACATTCTACCCACTAGCTCCCTAGCACTCTTAAGACAGTTACTAAGTAACAGTGTCAATAATGGTGAGATGAAAACATTAGTGTTTTGTTTACTAATAACTAAATCCTGGAAATATTTACATACTATCTAGGAAATAAAGTTTACTTTCTTAAGATTGTTTTTTTTACTTTCTTTTCTTTCCTTTTTTTTTTTTTTTTTTTGGTTTTTCGGCACAGAGTTTCTCTGTATTGCTTTGGAGGCTGTCCTGTAACTAGCTCTTATAGGCCAGGCTGGCCTCAAACTCACAGAGATCAGCCTGCCTCTGCCTCCCGAGTGCTGGGACTAAAGCATGTGCCACCAACACCCGGCTAAGATTGTTTTTTAAAGTAGTATTTTCCATACTATTTACTTAAGAGTAACCCTAGTGGTAATTTGGAAAATAAAACTTGTTTACCACTTGAGTGTATCCTATGCTTAATGAGGTAAAGCCTTTCTATGGGGCTATATAATATAGCAACATAGGCTGTTAAGACATAATTGTGTTTGAGAGTTGCTTACTATTTCCTAAAGCAATCATGCATATCATCAATTCCTAATGTCTAAATAGGGTAAAAATTCTGCATAATTCTACCATACCTCTTACTAAATCAACATGTTCCTATGTATGAGAAAGGAAATGCGAGAGTGGTGACCAGAGACAAAGCCTTCTAGGCCACCTCTCTCCAAAATCATCCAGCCTTATGCTAGGCATAGTGGTGCATGCCTTTTAACCCCAGCACTTGGGAGGCAGAGACAGGAGAATCTCTCAGTCTGAGGCTACCCTGGTCTGAAGAGTGAGCTCCAGGTTGGCAAGGGCTCTTATACAGAGAGACCCTGACTCAATAAAATAAAATAAAATAAAATAAATAAAAAGAAAACAAAAAAGAAAAAAATCAAAAGGAAAGAAAAAGAAAAAAATCATCTAAGGTTTCTTTTTACTCTGAAGTTTTATGATTTGAGAATAAAATTGCTTTCAGCAGGGTCTGTTGTTTTACTTTTTTCTTTCTTAGAACTTCTTTTTTTTTTTTTTTTTAAGAGACAGGGTTTCACTACTTAGCCCTGACTGGTCTGGAACTTGCCATGTAGAGCAGGCTGACTACTAACTTAGAGATTCCCCTGCCTTCCCAGTGCTAGGAATAAGGCTTGTGCCCCCACACCTGGCTTCTCTCTTCAATCTTAACCTATTTAATTAGGTAGAAGGGTCACTTCTAATCTGATTTCCCTGATGGATTAAATATTCTTTCTTAAGACATACTCTGCTTGCCTAAAAGCACTATCTAAATAGCACAGAAGTAAAAGAAATAAACAGTTGTATAACACCCCATGTAACATTTCATAAATTAGATCAGATTAAAACTTGAATCCTGGGTTTAAAGAAGTCAATAGCTCTCATGTAATTTTTAGGGTTTTTAAACCTTAAATTCAAATTGAATATGAAATTTTAGTGTATCAGAAGTAAAGATGTGAAATCCACATGATGAAATTCAGAATAGCATCAGAAGCAATGGTGTTTAGAATGGGAGGTATTACTATCTTTGCTATTAACACCAAACTGTCACTGTCCTGGAAGAATAGCTACATATCAAACCTCACTAATATGTGAACTCTGTCTGAAGAGAACATTTTCTTATTCTCACATCCTAATTTTCTTAGGAAAGAGAAGAAATTATGTATATAAATCCTCATAATAGCAAAGACCCTTTCCTCCCCAGGTAAAAACTTCACCCCCAAAACACATATAAGGTTATTTAACCTATACATACCAGCTTTTGACTTTTCATATAAAGTGAGAAGGCTTTATAAGCCCTCAGTAAACCTTGAATATTTATAGAATACATAAAAATTAAAGTTTTAGTATAAACTACCTTAGATACCATTATAAAATCAAGAGAAAAGCTACTAGCCTTTCTTTAGGCCATCTTCATGCTAAACCTCCCAATGAAAACATGTGACCTCTCTCAAGAAGAGAATGTATGTTAGTATGGAAAAGAAGTTTAATTTGTACAAAACATGTTTTTAAGTTTCCTCTATCCACTCACTGGTTGACAGTGGGCTACTCTAAAATTGCTTTTGAACTTGAAGGATCTAGCTTGCTTTATTACTTCTATACTTTCTATATTTCTATCAAAGAAGAAATTAGACACAAGATGAATAGGGCGCAAAAATATAAAGGACCACAGATAAACAGTATTAGAAAACTATAAAAAATAACTAAAGGTATTTTAGGGGTTTGGGAAAAGCTATGTCTTTACAGTTGGGATTTCAATTGTTATACTAGCAGGATTATGAATGGGGGGGCTTAAGTATGTGAAACACTTTGTTTTCAATATGAATATGAAAACAGGACAGTGTTAAGTACATGAGACACTGTTGTTGCTTCACTTGGGGAAGTAAATACAAGGATACAAAGCAAATTCCTCAGCCTACTCAAACTCAACAGGTTCCTTAGGGATTTCCATGTTTTTTTTTTTTTCCAAAATGGTAGCAGATTCTAGTTCAGTACAAATAAAACACCTTTTTCATTGAATAAGAAAGCTGCTGTTCATATGATCTTAGAAAACTGAATTTGTAAAACTCATTCATAATTTAGTTTTAGTATTTTTTTTTTTAAATCCTTGGTATAAAAATTTACCTCAAGAGGTTCATTTCCATCACAGTCACATGGTCTAGTGCACTTCAGAGCATTTGGACATTATGAAAACTGTCCTTTTCCGATGAAAATCCTTAAGAAAACAAGCACTTCTTAAACAAGTGACATGTGAGGCAACTTATACATTTAGATCTCACCTGCTTTAAGTGGAAATGTGTGATTCACCGGAGTAAAGCACAACTATTTTACAGTCTATTAAAAGAAGTTCTCTATGAGAAAGCTAAAGTATCCTGAAGACTTCTCAAGAGTTGGTTGAGACCTGCACCTTTGGGCTCAACATGTTTTTCCTTCCTCTCCTCTTTTCCTGCTCTTGGCAAAGTCCCCTTCCATCATGCACACACTGATGACACTTCTCACTACTGCATTTAGCCGGGAAGTAGCTGTGAATTCTTGTGAAGTCCACTGCAACAGTGGACCCCTCAGGCCATTCTGGTACTTATGGTTAAATTACATCCAATGTGAAATTTCGAATCACATCCAGAGCCGAAGTATCAAAGCCGCACATATCCAACATGCCTCTATCATCTGGGTCTGCGATGGTAAAACCATTGGATGTCATTCCACAGACAATCAATTTAGCAGGAATATCCATTTTCTGTACAGAAAATATAGGGAAAAGCAAATACATACATAATTATATGCAAGAAAAACAAACAAAAACCCTTTAAAATCAAGACCATTTTTGGCATGCTGGCTTAGAACTCATAACCATGGTTCACCCTACCCAATGCTGGGATTACAGGTGTGCACCAGCAAGTCCAGTTTACAATTTTGATATATACAGTAGATCTTGCCTTCCAAAACTATAATTCTGTCCCCATTATTTCCCTGACTCTTTGCTCTTTCCTTCCTGTCTATCCTTTGTGCTATGGACCAAACCAGGAGCTTATATTAGTAAGCTTTCCACCATTGAACTACTTACTGAGCTATAATCCCAGTCTCTCTATATGTAATTAGGATCACAATAATATTAAGAAAGAAACAATCAATGAATGTTCATTTTGCCAGGTACTATAATAAACCTATGAAAAAATACATTTAATGGTTTTGTTTTGATAAGCTTTCCTTGAAACAGATTTCACATAGCCTAGGCTGGCCCCAAACTTGGTATACAGCTGAGTATGACCCTAGTGCCTCTGCCTTCCAAATGCTTAGATTGTAGGTATGTACCACTGTGCCTAGTATGATGTGGTGCTGGGGACTGAGCCTAGGGCTTCAATACGGTAGACAACTACTTTACCAATGGAAATGCATCCCCAGTCCTTGTTTGTTTGTTTGTTTGTTTGTTATTGAGACAAGATCTCACTATAATTGTAACTCAGGCTAATCTTAAACTCCTTATGTAGCTTTGATTGGCCTCAAATCAACGATCCTCCTGCCTCAGACTCTTTTGTTTAAATACTTTATTTTAATATGTATGTGTGCGATGCAGGTGATTACAGAGGCTAGATGCATCACATCTCCTGGACCTGGAGTTATTGACACTTGTGAATCACCCAATGTAGGTGCTGGGACATGAACTCAGGTCCTCTGCAGGTGTAGGGTGTGCTCTTAGCTACTAAGCCATCTCTCTAGGCCCCCTGCCTCCATCTCTTCAGTACTAGGATTACATGCTAAGCTACCATGCCCAGTTCTAATGACCAATTTGTTTTTGAGACAGGGTATAACTGCTGTACCAACCCTAAAAAGTATGCACCATTACCTACTATGACACGCCAGTTATCTAATTTGTTCAGATCCACAGTTAACAAAAGAGACTTAGAACTAATATCCATGTGGTGGACTATTAGGGGAAGATGTCTTAATTTGTTTATGCTGTGGAATATTTGTTTAATGATGCAAAGATGTGTTGTCTTCTCTTATGCTGTATTTGTTTAACTCCATGCAGCTGTGTTACTTTGTCTGCATAAAACACATGATTGGTCTAATAAAGAGCTTAATAGCCAATACCTAGGCAGAAGAGAGAAATAGGCAGGCCTGGAAGGTAGACAGAATAAATATGATAAATCTAGGAAAAAAGGATTGGGGAGTGAAAGGAGAAGGAGAGGAGGACTCTCGGGGTCAGTCACCCAGCTATACAACAAGCCATGGAGTAAGAAGTAAAGGAAGATATAGTACATAGAAAGATAAAAGTCCAGGAGCAAAAGGTAGATGGGTTAACGTAAATTAAGAAAAGCTGGTTACAAATAAGCCAAGGTAAGGCCACGTATTCATAAGAAAGAATAAACCTCTATGTAATTATTGGGGAGTTGGATGGCAGGCCCCCCAGAGTAAAACAACCAAAATATATCGAGACTGCTTCTAGTCCAAATACTATTTCCTCCTTTACGACACTCAAAAAAGTAAAGCATTTATGAGAAACCTGAACCCTGCCCACAGTGTTTGACTCAGCAGGTGTCTGACTGGGTCTGTGTTGATTTACATATCTAATGTGAACACCGAATGATGCTGTAGCTGGTGGGAAAATTATGTTTTGAGGACCACTGTTCTTCACAGCAAGTTCTGCTTATCCTTCTTCTAGTCATGTGAGCCACATGTTCACACTCAACAACCTAATAATCAGTGTCTACCACAATGGACAGAATAGTAACAGAACACTTCTGTCAAGGAGAATGATATAAAACAGATATACCTATAAAGTTTAGAATACAGACGGAAAAATGTGCTGTAACTTTATGTAGTTCTTTAAACTCACAAATTATAAGTTTACAAAGAATGCAATGTATCATTAAAAATATCTGAGGTCAAATACTTATTTGGTCATTATCAAAAGCTGCTGGCAAAGGGCATTCTTATTAATATTTAGCACAGGAACCGGGAGATATATGTGTAGGCCCTACCTTTTTTCCAAGTACTGTTGAGTTCACCTGACACTGGGTTTCCTACACAAATGAAGAGAGCACACTCAAAGGGAATGGAGTATTGTTTGGTGTGAAACAGGTTTGTGTTTTACCTTTCGGTACTCCCTCAGGGCAACAGCAGGATGCACCTGTCCAGCATAGGTCTCATTATCAGTGAATACAATGAAGACATCGGCAGCTGTGTTTGTCTTCTGGGCCCAGATCATTGGAAGAGAGCAATCAGTGCTACCTGCTGGGACCTAGCTCAGAAAAAAAAAAAGAAAGGAAGAAATAGCAGTAAAATAAAATCACCTTAGTGTCCATCAGATGTCTAAAATGAATACATAAAAGCTCTAATTTTTAGAGTACCACTTTATGTAAAACCAGTATTAAGGCTTCGTCATGCTTGTACATATATATATTTTTGACTGTGCTTGCTATGAGAAGAACAGTTTCTTCCTATAGATGTTATGCATATGCATGCCCCAAGTAAAAAGTTATAGGACATGTAACAAAACAGTCTTACTTTATTCATAGCCGTTAAAACCTGCTGTAAGGTCATGTCAGTAGTCACAGGAAATGGAACCATATCACATGCAAAAGCAACTACTGAAGACTCTTTTTCTGTTCGTGTGACCACCTGTAAAACACAGTGGGAAGAGTTTTCAGCACACTGAATAATTACAGTCTCTTAAAGGCTTATAGAACTTCATCTCTGAAAGAAACACTGTGGTGCTTATTGTTCCTAAACTTGCATTTTTGTCTTTCAGAGTACAGAGTCACAGCACTGTTCATGCCCGGTGAGATGGACAAAGGTGCTTGCCACCCGACAATCTGAATCGGATCCTTGGAATGCACATGGTGGAAAGACAGGATGACTCCTTAAGTTATCCTCTGGGGGCGCCCAATGCAATCCATAAATGAAAACAAATGAAAAGGATGACTCAAAAAATCTCTGAGAAACTGGTATTCACAGCACCCTCTGAAATGAATACACATGTGTACACACACACACACACACACACACACACACACACACACACACACACACACATTTTACTGAACTAGGAATAAAAGCACAGAAGTGAAGGCTTCCTTGCTATGTGGTAATAGAACCATGGTTGAGACCTGAACCTCTCTAATGCCCATCACTAGTTTCTTGAGCTTTTAAACATGGCCCCGACCCTGCTAAGCATATTATTTCTAAAAATCATCTACTTTTACAAATACTAGTAACATTTAATCTTGCTATAAAATTTGGCAACACAATTCTAATTGTTCTTTACACATGCATTTTCTGTATAATTCATTATAAACTTGTCTTCAGATATAAAATGGTAAATGTTAATTAAGTGAAATGAAAATATAAGTGATGCTGGGTGGTGGTGGCACACACCTTTAATCTGAGCACTCAGAAGGCAAAAGCAGGCAGATCTCTGAGTTCGAGGCTAGCCTGATCTACAAACCGAGTTCCAGGACAGGCTCCAAAGCTATACAGAGAAACCCTGCCTTGAAAAACAAACAAACAAAAAAAGTAAAAAATTAATTTTTTATTTTGTTTTTGTTTTATGTGCACTGGTATTGTGTCTGAATGTATGTCTGTTGCGAGGGTGTTGGATCCCTTGGGACTGTACTTATAGAAAGCTGTGAGCTGCTATGTGCTTGCTGGGAAGTGAACCTGGATCCTCTGGAAGAATAGCCAGTGCTCTTAACTGCTGAGCCATCCCTCTTGCCTTGAAAAAGTAATTCTTGATGCTGTTTGCCTTTACAGTCTTACTTTGACCACATTTTAGGGGATGGGAATGCTAAATTGTAGGGGATCTCACCATGCACATTGCTGCAGCAACAGTACTAGCATTGAGTACACTACCCAACACTCTCTGGTTCATAGAAGCACTGACATCAACAGCTAGCAAGAAACGTTTCCCAGTCGGCTCAACCGTCTGAAAAGAAAACAAAATAGTCATGAAAAAGTCAGGAATTGTACAAAGATTAAGCAACCCCCCCAAAAAAACAACAAAAAATTCCTTTATTTATTTATAACTTTTATTTAAATTAGAAACTTTCTTATTTTACATATCAATACCTGTTCCCTTCCTTTCCCATACCCCCCACAGATCCCCCCATCCCATCCCCCATTCACTCCCCAGGGAGGGTTGAGGCCTTCCATGGGGGATCATCATTAAAATCTGTCAAGTCATTTGGAGCAGGGTCTAGCACCTCCCCCCAAATCTAGGCTGAGAGTATCCCTCCATGGGGAATGGGTTCCCAAAGCCCATTTGTGCACTAGGGATAAATCCTGGTTCCCCTGCCAGAGGTCCCTTAGACTGCCCAGGCCTCCTAACTGACACCCATATTTATCTTTCATTCAAAAGGCTCCCAGAGGAAAGGCATGGTGTTTTGATATGTAAGTTAAGCGACTATTATTTTATTTTATTTATTTATTTTTGGTTTTTCGAGACAGGGTTTCTCTGTATTGCTTTGGAGGCTGTCCTGGAACTTGCTCTGTAGACCAGGCTGGCCTTGAGCTCAACAGAGATCCGCCTGCCTCTGCCTCCCGAGTGCTGGGATTAAAGGCGTGTGCCACCAATGCCTGGCTATTATTTTTAAAAATCTACCTCCCATTAGCTGGTAAAACAAAGAAAACAATATAACCCATTTAATTTTACTTAAAAGAAGCTAATTCATACTTTTCTTAATGAAGTAAAAATGGCAACTTGTAGGATTATTTATTCAACGTGGTAAAAGACAGATAACATTTACTGTTTAGCCATCTTTAAAAATGTAATTCAGAGGCATTAAGTGTATATTTATAGCTGATGAGCACTGCCTCTATTTCTAGATGTTCTCATTATCACAATAGAAACTTTATTCAATTAAGCAGCAACCTCAAGCTTACACATTCACCTTGAGTAGTCTTGCCCCTTCTAGGCTGTTTTCTGGCTCTACAGTGTGTACTTCACAAAATGTAGTCATAGAAGACATCTGGGTACCTTTTGGCTACTTGAGTAATGCTGGAACGGACACTAAGTGTACAAATACAAGGTCAAGTCCTTTTGGTCTTCTAGGGCATATACAGAGGCTGAATTCTTGATGATATCATAGATTTTCTTCTTTTCTTTTTCGAAACAAGGCCTCTCTATGTAGCTTTGGTTGTCTTGGAACTTTCTATATAGATCAGACTACTCTTAACTCAGAGGTCTGCCTGCCTTTGCCTCTACAACACTGGAAAAGACATATGCTACTCCGTTCCCCTGTAGTTTGGTAGTTTTACTTTACTTTTTTTGCTTAGTTTTTTGGTGTTTCTTTTTCAGACAGACAGGTTGTTGTTATGGTGCCTGACTGGCTTCACACTTAACTATGTAGCCCAAGCTGGACTCTGAACTCACAGCGATTCCCCTACCTTAGTCTTTTCCATCATGCCCAGCGGGGGATTTATAGACATGTGCTGTATGTTGAGCTCTCCATGTTTAACATTTGATCTTAATTTTTACTGGCTGCAACATTTTACATTGTCACTGATAGATAACACAAGAGTTCCAGTTTTCCACATCCCAACACCTGTTATTTTCGGCTAACAGCTACAAAGAGGCTTCTCATTGTGCTTTTGTCCTGGCTAACCATTCTGAGTATATTTCACATAGTTATTGGCCCATTACATAATTCTGAAAAACTATTCAATCACTTTGCCATTAATCACTATGGCGTGTAATTGTACTACTGAACTTCAGAGCTTATGGATATTAAACCCTTTTCAGATATATGATCTGCAAGTATTTTTTCCCATCATGCAATTCTTTTCCTACTTTTTTCATAACACTCTATGATGCACACAAGTTTCTTTTCTTTTCCTTTTTTTTTTTTTTTTGATACAGGGTTTTTCTGTGTAACTCTGGCTATACTGGAAATCACTTTGTAGCCAGGCTGGCCTCAAACTCAGATTTGCCTGCCTCTGCTCTTAAGTGTTAGGAATTAAAGGAGTGTGCTACCACTGCCTAGTTACAAGTTTCAAATTTTGAAGTTCAATTTATTTAGTTATCACCTGTATTTCATTATTCTTTTTGTTTTTTTTATTTTTAGCTCCTAAAGTTATGCCATTAATCTCTTGTGAAATATTTTTTGTATATGCTGTAAGAAAGTGATCCATTTTGCTCCTTCTGGATGTAAATGTTCAGTTTTTAACAGGACAATTTTTGAAAACTGTCCTTTTTGAATTAACTAATCCTGGAGTTCTTAAACATCAACCATCTAAATGGGACAGTTTGTTTCCAGACTCTTGTTTTATTCCTTTGGACATTCTGTCTGTCCTTGTAAGAGTAGCATAGTGCTCTGCTTACTGTTGCATTGGAGTTTTGAAATCCAGATGTGTGAGTTCTGCAAATTTGCTTTTCAAGATTGTTTTGGTTGTTTGGAATCACTTGGGATTTTATATGGGTTTTAAATTTTCTAAAACACATGCCATTTGGGACTCTGAAGTCTGTATATTGCTGTGGATTATCCTATTCTCTTCACACTGTCTTCTAATGTGACAGCATGATGTCTTTCTCTTTGCCCATATTCCTGTCTTTCTTATACTGCTATTTTAAATACTAGTATTTTCTTAATTTCCCTTTCAAATTGTTTATCACTACTGTACAGAATTGATTTATTATTTACTTACATTTTTTTTCTCCCTTGTTTTTTGAGACAGGGTCTCATGTAGCCCAGGATGGTCTTGAACTTACGGTGTTGAGGAAGGTGGCTCTGATCTTCTGACTGCTACTTCTACTACTCAAGAGTTAGGATTACAGATCTGTACCACCAAGCCTGGCTCAACTTGTGTGTGTGTGTGTCTGTGTTTAATGCATTGCTTTATAACCTGCAAGTCTGCTGAATTCATCTAACTCTAACTTCTACATAGAATAATGAGCATGCTAAGTTAGGCTTTTTTCTTATAAAATTACCACAATTCTCCGTACTATATGGCATTGAAGTAGGGAAAATAGCCATCCTTATTCTTGATTTTTAAGGAAAAAGTTTTATCTGAGTATGATGATACCTATGACTTTTTTTTTAAAATATAAGCTTAATTATGGTGAGGAAATCAACTTTTACTTATTAAGTGATTTCTTGATTTTTATTTTGATTTTTACTGTTAGGTTTTTGTCAGATGTTATTTACAAATCAACTGATACTATCATGTGGGCCAGAGATACATGTCACCTGTGATTATGCATAATGCTTTTAATTTGCTACTCAATTTGGATGTTAGATTTTGTGGTGTATCCAGACATTTTTGAAATAAAAGATTTTTAACTTATAGCTCTGATTTCCATTTTGAAAACCTGACTATTGAGACAGATAGACTCAGCTCTCAATTAGGAATGGAATTTAAAAAAGAGTACTAAGTTGAAGGAACCCACAGGGACGTAAATTCTCAAATTCAGTACTTTATCAATATGACCTTAAAAAGTACTAAAATGATCTTGGGATAGGTAGCTGCTACTCAGAGTGATAAGAATTACTCATAAACCTACAATATCATTTTTGCAGCTATCTTCATACCAGTTAAGAAAAACCCATGCATATATACTTTAAGCTAGATAAATTATTGTTATTACCATTAAAATGTGTTTTTATAAAATATATTAATCCCTAAGTCTTTTTTAAATAAACAAAATAAAGCTATTACCTTAAATGTTTTATAAAAAGCAGCATCCAATGCTTGCAAAATGTCTTTATCAGGAGTCCATTTCAGTTTACCTCGGAGTCCATGACCTGTTCTGTAGGTTTCTAATGCAATTAGAACCTGAAATGGATGTATACGAGCCTAGAAACAAGACAGACAGAAGGTAGTTGCCAGCTTCAAGTAAAAATAACAATGAGTCTGAGTTTCATATTACTATAAGTAATAAAGATACTTACTGAAGAAAGAACAAATATTAAACTTAGATTTAAGAATTAAATGCAACTTGTCATGAGGGAGGTCTTAGATCACTTGAGAGGCAACTTCTTTAGCTAACCAAATCATGGGCCACACACACCTTTTTGAGCAGCTTTTCATTGCATAGTCTTTCACATACTAAAGATACTTCAGAATTGCCTGGTTCAAGCACTGAATTAGCAGTCATCTTTCCCAGATTCCTCAGTAGTGCAGTAAGGGGCATTTCTTGTAATAAAGCCTTCCATACCTACAAGGAGAGAAAGGAACAACAAAAGGTGAATAGCACAGCTAGAAATGTAAAGAAATAAGGGGAAGTGAGTCAATATAGCATAGCTAAATCAACCACATTAATGGTGTATTTTGTAAAGCATTTACTCAGGGTTTAAAGTACTTCCAGAACACATATCAATTGATCATAGGCCGATCAATTGGAAACTGAAGGGTTTGTGGAGAAAATACAGGTGTCATTAATAGTAACATTGAATCTTTATTTTATTTTATTTATTTATTTTTGAGACAGAGTTTCTTTGTGTAACAGCTCTGGCTATCCTGGAATTTGCTTGTAGACCAGGCTGGCCTCAAACTCACAGAGATCTGCCTCTGGAGTGCTGGGATTAAAGACTGCCTGGCTATGTTGAATATTTTTAATAAGTATCACTTTAAAGATATGTTTGGATTCTCTCTCTGTCTGTCTCTCTGGTGTGTGTGTGTGTGTGTGTGTGTGTACGTGCGTGTGAAAAGGCCTGATGTTGTTGCTGGGAGTCTTCCTTAGTAGCTTCTCACTGTTCTTTTTGAGGCAGGGTCTCTCAGTCAAACTCAGCGCTCCTGGAAGTGAGATCTGGCTAGTCTTGCTAGTTACCTTGCTCTGGGATTCCATCTCTGTTTCCCCCTGCCACATGAACACTAGCTGGTCCTCTTACCTATTCATCAAGTGCTGTAAACACTGAGTCATCTCCCTAGCTCCTTCTCTTGTTTTGGAGGGGTTGGGGACTGAACCCAGGGTCTGGAACCTGAGGCTTCTCTTTTCAAAAGAACTTACTCACCTCTTTAGACTTCAAGTGACTTGTGAGCAGGTGCTCCCTAACTAGCTGGTGCTCTTCAATCAGGTGCGTGACTTCCAGCTCATCTTTTGTACGCTTCACTTTCTCCACGGCCTCCAGATACTTTAATAGCTTTTCAGTCTCCACAGAAAGTGCCTTTTCTTTATACAGTTCATGGACTTCCTTCCAGCCCTTTGTTATATATTTGGTAACAACAGCAAGTCCTTTAACAAGATAAAGAATTGAAAAGGCAAGTAGGATTAGTGAAAATAGAATGAACATGATCAGCTTAACTAAAAAGACAGAAGCTGACTCCCTTAAGTGGGATTAATATTCTGCCACATAAACAAATAGTTTTTTTTTTAAACACCATTACTGTTTAAATATGTAGTGGTGGGGAAATGTGTCTAGAGTTTAAGCCAATTGTAGTACAGAGGCACTTCTGAGATACTGAAATTACAAACTTTACAGATAGTGTCGATTTCACGTCCATAACCTCAATCAGAGAACAGATCTGTTCCAATGGTTATCATACTGATTTTCCTTTGCTTCTGAATAAATATGGATTCATGAGCAGTAGTGATTAAGTGGAAACAGGCATTAACTGTTTAACAACAGAAAGAGACAGTGCTCCTCTGTGAAACAGTCCTGGCTGTCCTGGAACTCGCAGTGTAGACCAGGCTGGCCTCAAACTCACAGAGATTTGCCTGCCCTCTGCCTCCCAGGTGCTGGGATTAAAGGCAAGCACCATTACCGCTGAGTCCAATCCAATATTTTAAAAAGGAAAATAACTTGTGCATTCCTTTTACAATTTTTAATAGTAAAAAGAGGTTTGAAGTGAGAAAATCTTAGTTGCAGCCTACAGCTTCTGCTATCTTTTGCTGAAAACACCTTTCGCTTTTGATGACACTGAACTTTTGTCAGATCTTGAAACTGATTTAATACACCTTGAGATCATTTAAAACTATGTACTCAATCTGCTATCCTACCGTGTACTTAGCTGTTTTAAGTTCAACCTGCCTTAGGAAAACAATGCAACTAACCTTACTATGCCTTGGATTTTCTATGTGATCAGCGGTTACAACCTAAGCAAATCTTTTTTGTTGTTGTTTTTATGAGACAGGGTTTCTCTGTATTGTTTTGGAGGCTGTCGGTCCAGCCCGGCCTCAAACTCACAGAGATCCGCCTGTGAGTGCTGGGATTAAAGGCGTGCGCCACCACCGCCCGGCTTCATATGCCTTTTTACTATACTGACAAAACTTAGGTTTTTCTTAAAATATTTTATAGGCTAACTGAAACACATCTCTAAGCAAAGCTGAGCCAGGCTGTGTGCTATTTTTGAGCCCTAATTTATGTAATTCAATCAAAAGTTAATACTTATTTCTACAGTATTGTAACTTTTTATCTTTCTCGGCCTAACAAACAGTCCTGATTGTCCTAGAACTCACTTTATAAACCAGGTGGACTCAAATTTACTGAGATCCAACTGCCTCTCTGGAGTGCTGGGATTAAAGGCGTGTGCCACCACCGCCCACCAGACTGGCCACAAACTTACAGAGATCTGCCTGCCTCTGCCTCCCAAGTGCTGGAACTAAGGGTGTGTACCACCAATGCCCGGCCTAGTATCTCTTGGTTAGAGGCTAATGAGTTCATTATCACTAGTAATCAGGGGGCTTTCTATACTTGAGCGCTTGCTCTGTTATGACTTCAGTGTCAAAACATAGAGTAAAATGATATCTACTGCATATTAGATCAGATTTAAAAGTAAAACATGGCGCACTTATGAAAAAAAAGCATGTGTTTTTTTTGTGTGATTTCAGGATGGAAACACTTTTTTTAAACTTAGAAAAAATTGAGGGAGTGGATGGAGAGATGGCTCAGTGGTTAAGAGCACTTGCTGCTCTTACAGAGGACCTGAGTTTTGGTCCCAATACCTACGCCAGCTGCTTTTATTCATAAAGCATAATGTTGCTTAATTAATTCAGACAGATTCAAGCCAGCTGGAAACTAAATACTTACTACTGATAATCCAGCCATTAATAAGAATCATGACTGATTGACAGGTTAATACTTTATATCCTAAAATGTGACCAAATTCTCCAGAATGCTCACCAAGTGACTATGGCCTATGAGTACAGTACAGACAAGGTTCAGGCTTGGGAAGCAGGCATCTTCTTGACAGTGGGTGGAAAAACTGCACTACTCTACACAATACAGGTCTTTAGTGTCAAGCTGGTTCCAAATGTCTGGATTAATTAAACAGCATTATGTTTTGTGAGTGAAAGCTGACATTAGAAAATGAAATGAAATTTTGCTATTTATCAACCCCCCCCTCCGTCTTACTGCCCATTAGGAAAATTGTGTGCTTACCTTCGCTGGAAGGTTTAAGATGTGACAGTCTTAGGAGATCTTTGTGAGACCAGCCATTTCTTTGTTTATACTTTGTAACTGCCAGAGCAATGGCCATGCCACCTTTTTCATTATACCAGTCTGCCACGGCCTTCCGGAGAGCACGACCCCACATGCCACACTTCATGCTTTCCTTCAGGTCTTTCTTAAACTGGATAAAAGTGAAGAGATGGGTCGGGATGCGACAAACTTCAGGGACAGCTTTAAAGGCTGCTTGCTTTGTCTTGATGTCCGAACACTGAGAACAGATGGCAAGTGCAAACAGCAACGGCTCTTGTTTTGCAGTCCTGCCTTCCTGACTAAATGACTTGATTTCCTGTATCACTTCACATCCTCTACCGTCTTCAATCAATCTAACTAAGGCGTCAGCATTCTCGAGACCCAGCTTCTGTTCTTTGATGTAGTAGGTGCCACCTTCAGAACCAAAACACAAGAAGCGGTGCAGCCGATTCATGTCTGTGACCTGCCATACGGATCCGCCCTCAGAGTTGGCTACTTGACTCTCACTCAGTGGCTGCAACTGGTTCGCAGCCTCTTCCATCTTCTTTGTCCTTTGGGAAACCTAGCAAAAAGGCCAAGTGTCGTTGCAATGAGATGGAGTTAGTACGTTTTATAAAGGCAAACAATAGTAAACCTCTGCTTATTGAAATGCAGAATCTTTTTAATTTAAAAACGTCTTTTGAGCTCAGTTTTTCTCAGTAAAACATCACTATTAATATCAAGAAAAATTAGCCGGCCATTGGTGGTGCACGCCTTTAATCCCAGCACTCGGGAGGCAGAGACAGGCGGATCTTTGTGAGTTCGAGACCAGCCTGGTCTATAAGAGCTAGTTCCAGGACAGCCTCCAAAGCCACAGAGAAACCCTGTCTCGAAAAACCAAAAAAAAAAAAAAAAAAAAAAAAACCTTTTATTATTTACTCAGATATTTTTATAAACTATAGAAATCCCAATTTTTCAAAAAAAAGTAGCAAGTAGCATAGTGATCACAAACAACAATTAATTTTAAGGTACAATATATTATGTCCACTTATTAATTATACAATATATGAACTATACACTATATATTATTACAAATTAATTATACAATATACTAATCAAGTAGATCAGTGTGAGATCTAACGTCCAGATAAGGACAAAAAGGGAGCAACTATAGCCAACATTAAGAAAAGTCAGCTCCCTAAAGAACTGTGCATTTCTGGTCTCCATTCCAACATTTGCCCTCACAAGGGACCACAGGGAAGAGGATTTCAGGGAAATAATGGTTGACAGTGTCAACTACAATAAGATAATGATGGGAATGACTACTGCAGGTGCTTGGAAAATACAAGTAACTAGCAAATGCAAGCCCAGTAGAGTCCAGTGAGGACAGGAGCCAATGCAGTAGGAAGTGACGTCACAGATCTGTCCTCTTTACAGACACAGCTGTAAGCTAGAAAGGAAGGTAAGACAAAAGCCACAGCCTAGAAGAAAACTTTCTTGTTGTCTTCGGGGGGTGTGATACTGAGGTTGGTGTTGGAAGAGTCAGCTTGGAGAATGGGTGACAACAGAGACGGGACAACAGCAAGGGCAAATCCTAAAGAAACAGGACGGAAAGGGTTACAACATTGGGTTTGAAATTGGCCCATGGATGACAAAAGCAAGACATTTCCTTCTTTCTGAGGCTGAAAGATGTGCTAAGAAACAGAGCTCTGAGAGACAAGAAATTCCCCTCTGGCAGACAATGCAGAGTTCCACGCGGTAGGTGGGGAAGCCAGGTAGCTAGGGGTGTCACACAGCAGACAATGGTGGAGGAATATGCACACAGGGAACTGGACAGTCTTACATTCTGGTGTGATAAAGGGGTCAGTGAGTATAATTTGCGTTGGAAACATGAGAGTCAATATTTCAAGTACAACGTACAGAGCTGCTTATGTTAGGGCAAGCGTAGGGCAGGGCTCATGCTGTTGCAGAGAATGTGACCACATTAGGGAATAGGGAAGGTTTTATAGTTCTAGAGGACAGGTTGTAATTCCCGGTGCTTATTTTATTCCCCACTTAGTTTGCCAAAATTTTTTAAAAGTCGGGAGAACATTTCCAGGACTAGCAACTGCAAATAGAAATCCTTATCCTTTGATCTTTACAATGCATTTACCATTACTAACATCTTCTTAGCTTTCACAAAAATACTGTGATTGTGTACTCCAACCTGTCTACTCCAGTGTATTCACATGTGTTAGGGAGTAACACGGACATGATATTTAGTATTACATTATGTCTCCCCCAAAGTTCAAATGCTGGGATTTAAAGATACGAGCCCAAACTTCAAGACAGATCCTTCTCATCCTTTTCCTTCTGTTATTCACCCTAAGCATAACTATGCATACATCACTGGCTCCTAGGAGAACAAGGCCTGAGTTTTATGTTACAAACCTTACTTCTACATCTAGAACATCACGGCTAAGTAATGAATAATACACATTAAAGGAAAACTAAATAGTATCAACATTGATTTTGTAAATTACTTGCTCAATGGAAATTCTGCACAATGGATTTTCTTTTCTGTAATTTATTTCTTTTGAAAAAGCCTCAACATTTATGATAAAAAATTTACTACATTTTTTAATGATAAATTCTGCTAATGAACTAAAGTTTTTTTTTTCTTATTTTGTTTGTTTGTGGAGACAGAGTTTCTCTATGTAGACAAGGCTGGCCTCAAACTCACAGAGATCCACCTGTTTCTGCCTCCTGATTGCTGGGACTAAAGGCATGCACCACTTTCTCCTGCCTTTTGGTTTTTGAGACAGACTCTCTCTATGTTTGTTACCCTGGCTGTCTTAGAACTTTCTCTGTAGTCCAGGCTGGTCTGGAACTCAGAGATCCATCTGCCTGCTCCTGCCTTCTGAGTGCTGGGATTAAAAGAGTGTGCCACCACAGCCTCACTCTGAATATATTACATGTAGGAAAGACAATCAAGAAGAAAAGGTAAAGTAATAAGAACTGGGCAAAAATGTCAACAGAGACAGTATTTCTCTATTAAGTTTTCCTGTGGTCTTGCTGATCAGGATGGCCTGGTGCATGCAATCCTTTTGCTCTGGCCTCTTACATATTGAGATTACAGGTGTCTGTCACCAAAGTACTTCTAGTACTTTAAATGTAAATACAACTTACGAGAGGGCATTATCTCATTCTGAAGTCTGCACTACTCTTCAGCAGACTAGACCAAACGAAAACACAGTGATTACATTTTGATTATGTGCTAGATGCTATAGAATCAAATGGGTTTTAAGTGACTAGACATCCTCCAAAAGACCTCCCCAAAAACAGGAACTGCTAATCTATCTGAGTCAACAAGGAAGTCCCTCCTAATTTAATTCTAAAAAAAAAAAGTTAACTGATGGTAACCAGGGAGTTCTCTACTATTATTAAGAATTCTCCCTACCTTCAAAGATCCCTGCTTTGCCAATGTGCAGTGGAATTATTGTACTTTATAGACTAAGGTATTGCCCAATTCTAGAATTGTAAATAAAAGGAATATTTTGAAATTTGTTGTAGTTTTATCTTTTTGACAAAACTAATTTATCAATGGACTCTTCCCTTTGCTAATTATATCAAAGACAGCCAAAAAGATGTACTCCTCCAGTATTTCTTCAGCATAAATTGCTTAGGTTTTCTTTCCTTTTTTTTAAAGATTTATTTATTTATTATGCATACAGCTTCTGACTCCAAGTATCCCTGCAGGTCAAAAGAGGGCACCAGATCTCATTACGGATGGTTGTGAGCCATCATGTGGTTGCTGGGAATTGAACTCAGGACCTCTAGAAGAGCAGCCAGTGGTCTTAACCTCTGAGCCATCTCTCCAGCCCCATGCTTAGGTTTTCATATGCTTCTCTGACTATACTTTCCGGAGTACAACATAAAACAGTGGAACAGGCCAGACTGTGATGGTGCATGTCTTTAATCTCAGTACTTGGGAGGTAGAGGCAGGTGGATCTCAGTGAGTTCAAGGCCAGTCTGGTCTACACAGAGAATGCCATCAGGCTCCAAAGCTACAGAGAAACCCTGTCTTGAAAAATCAAAATAAACAGTGGACCAGAGAGAGGAAAGACAGAAGGCACTGAAAGGGAAACTATAGACACACGATAAATCAAGAGTCCCCTGCTCCTATGATCTGGCTTACATCTCTTATTGATCGAGAGTCAGGAGCTTTTACAACAAGACTCCCTTCAAAGAACCATACTTTGCTTGCTGAACCCTACCTTAATAAATGAGAGCATTAAAACAGCTAAGGGCCAATCCTTAAGGTCAAGATATATACTCTCTCTCTCTCTCTCTCTCTCTCTCTCTCTCTCTCTCTCTCTCACACACAAACACACCCTTTTATTTTAAATTTGTCAGCAACTCTATTCTCATAAATAAAAGTGAAATCTGTACTTCATCAACCATTCCACAATTTTATTTACAATTCCTTTTAAAAAGGAATTTCTTTAAAAGCAATAAGCAAACTAGCTTATTTTTAATTTTAAGCTTCACTTACTTATCTTTAAATCTATGTATAAATTATGTCTTCTGAGTAATACAATTTTAAAAGCTACATCAATCACCCATACAGTTACTACTACAAAACTCCAAAGAGTCTTTTTAATTGCTGTGGAATAATCCTTAGCAACTAGCTTTTATAGTTAATGCCCAGTCTAACCTATCTTTCTGAGTATCTTTTTTCTTTGTGTGTGTGTGTTTGTTTGTGTGTATGTGTGTGTGCTTGGTGATACTGAATGTTGTGAAAAGGAAGAAACCTCCTAGAAAGAAGCGTGCAAGCCCCCCCCCGTGTGTGTGTGCACAGCCTGATGGACTGATTAAGACCCTGGCCCAACAATTCTGAGCAAAAAGAACAAGGTTGAAGGGATTACCATTCAAGATTTCAAGATATATTACAGAGCCATAGTAATAAAATAAAAATAGTAACTTTAAAAAAAGGTACCAGGATGAAAACAGACCTAAGTAGGGACTCGTAACAACAGACTTCTAATATTTGACAAAGATGTCAAAAATATACTCTGGAGAAAAGACAGTCTTCAACAAAGGATGTTGTGAAAACTAGATGTTCACTCGACGAAGAATGAAATTAGACCTGTATCAACTTGCACAACTAAATCCAAATAGATCAAAGACCTAAATGTGAAAAGGGGTGTGGTGGGAACTCTAATTAGATGTGGGTAGGGAGGTCAATAGGAGGAAGGAAGGAGGGTAAAATAACATGGATATCTGAAAAAAGTCATAAGGAATCATATTACCTATTTACTTAAAATTACACACAATGCATAGAAGTCTGTGTGTACATATGTAGTTTTAAATGAAATTTATCTACCTGGGCCCACAATGCTTCCCCCAAGACCCAGATCATCTAACAAAAACCCCAACACTAGGTACATGAAGTCCCCTTTTGAGTTGTTGGTCAGTGTTGTCTAAGAGATTCCCCCAAAATTACAGGCTATTGCTGCTGCCTGTAGTTGCCTTCCGGAGCTGGAAGGTAAGTCTTTATGCTGAAGACACCCATATTTCAGACCTATGAGCAAGAGGGCCCAAACTGGATCTGACCTGGAAGCCTCCTCCCTGAGGATTAGCTTTCATGACACCAGAAGATACCATGCAAGCTTCCAAGAGAGGGGAGCAACTAATGATCCTACCTAGCTATGATGCCTAAGGACTACAAGGACCAGCATCTGGAAACTGTCCTCTGCAATATAAGTCAGGGGGTCCTAGCTCCATCTGGGCAGAGGTCTCGGAAGAGAACTCCTTCAGGCTGCAGAGTAGGCATCTTGGAACTGCATCTTGCAGTGCCAGTGACCAGGCCACCTACATCACTTCTTTACTATATATATAGTAAAAATTTAAATATAGAGAACTGAATGGCTGTATATTTCAAGCTATATTTTCTTCTTGTCACAAAGTGCTGAAATAGAGATGACTTTAAAATTGGTAGTGTTGTATGACATGGTGATACAGATCCCTTGGAATGTACCAACTGCTAGGAGTATCTTAGTAATACTAAAGAAGGGACCCATCCTGAGCCCCAAGACAGTTTCAGATAGCCATCAACTAACAGCAGCTTAATTTCTTCTTTCTTCAAAAAGACCAGTGTCCCCTGTCTCAAAACTGAAGCTCCCACCCAGCGGTTTAGAAGGCAGCTGGGCAATGAGTCAAATCAGTCTGGTTATCTGGTAACCTACTCCTATGCAATCAAGTGTTGTAAATCTAAGTCAACAACAAGAATAAAGCTAATTCTTCTTAGAGTTGTCCTGAGTTTTTAAAACACAACTGTCTCCAGAATTTATACCAGCTGAAGTTTTATCAAATCTCTATCAAGTAGAGCTTTGGGAGACATTAACTGTTAAAAAAACATGTCATGATTTTGAGTGTCTTACTCGATCTTAGCTATAAGGTTAACCAGTGATGTGTTGTTCTATATGTTGTCCACTCTTTTAACTCAGAATGTTAAATAGGTAGACAATAGAAAATTCTGGTGTAAATAGCACTTCTGCTTCAAATATGGATCATCCAAACTACAACATAAAATTTTTACCATTACTAATATAAAGATTCCTATATTTTCCTTCAATCTATACATCTATTAAATCAAAACCCCTTTACCATTTGTTATTTGAAAATGCTAACTTTTTTTTTTTTACCCTGAGAAGTCAAGCAAATATGCAGTTTCTTTTAAATGGAAGCTAGGGGGTAATTTTCAGTTATGAAGTTATACCACATTAAAAAAAAAACTAGGGCCCAAAGTTCAAATACGTATAACATACATAAAGGTAATGAAAACAAGTGTCTCAAGCGCGATGCAATAAAAAGTGCTGAGGACTGTGGCAAAATGTCACCATGGTAGTACGCTCTGAGCAGTATTTTTTCCTCTGTAAGCCTTCCTTGGAACATGCTTTAAAGAAATGTTGAGTAAATAATACTCTTTAAAACCATCTTAACACTACGGCACTCTGTAGGAGTGCGATGAATGAAAAGAATTAATTGAAAGTAGCCATTTTTGCTTAATTCATCATAACCATTTCAAGGGTTTTTAAAGCAATGCACAATATTAAGGGGGGGGGCTCATTTCTCCGTAAGGCACTGCATCCCGATACGTAAGTCTCTCGTTCCTTTGGACTTATAGGACAAACCTTTTAGGACGAATAATAAATTTCTCTTAGAGAAATTCGCTTTCCGTTTCCCCACAAAGCTCTTTAACAGACCCGTCTCCGAGACGACGCCTCTGTACCAAAGCCGCAGGAGGAGGGGGAGAAAGTGAAAAGGGGCCTTGGCACGTCCGCCCTCCCGGAGCTTTGCAAGCATCAGAGTCGTCCTGGGTCCCCCAAGACCCCACCCCCCAGAGCAACCGGGCCAGGCCCGACGCGAAATCGGTCCAGCTGCCCTGCAGGCGCTTTGCCTGGCCTCTGATCCAGGGATGCTGGTGGACGAGAGTGCGCACCGGCCAGACCTCGAGTGCCCGGGATCGCTCGGACCGCACAAAACCTGCGTCCCCGCCCCACAGTCGGCCTCCGGCGACCCACCTGTGCCTGGAAGCCGACGCTCAGGACCCGCGGCGCCTAAAGCAGGAGCACTGCGCAGCGCGGGGCAGAGGCGGCGGCCAGAGAAGGCGAGGACAGCTCCAGGTCCAGCGGGCCCCGCCCCTTCCCCGGCCCCGCCCCTCTCATCGCTCCGCCCCAGCGCCGGAGTGCCAAGGGTCCCGGATGTGCCTCCCTCCGGCGCTCCGAGGCCCCGCCCCTCCTCAGGCCGGGCGGGGGACGCTCTACGGGTCCTGAGAGGCAGAGGGGGAGGAGTTTCGCCGTCTCCCGGGTGCCTAGGACGTCTTCCTGCGCTCCGTCGCGCTGCAGGTGACGGCGCCCGGAGGCTGTCGGGAAGTAGGCGGGGTGACGTGAGGTTGACGCTCGGCGGCGGGTTTTGCTGAGCTCCGCGGCCGGTGGCGCCTGGTGCCTTGGGGGCTTCGGAGAGCGCGAGGTGGCGTGGGGCGGCGTGTGTGGCCGGGGCCATGACGAGCAATGCCGGGGAGTGGTGTCTCATGGAAAGCGACCCCGGGGTCTTCACCGAGCTCATTAAAGGATTCGGTGAGCACCAAGGGGACCGTCCTGGGTCGGGGGTTCCGGGAGGAGGTCCACGTTGGGCCAGGTGGTCACCTGGCGCCCCCGACACCCGGAGTCGGAGAAGTGACTTCAGGGACCGGAGTCGGCGCGCGTGGAAAGTAGGGCTGCGGCCGCGTCCTCGGCCCGGGGCAGCCGCGCCTCCGCCGGGATCTCGGGAGCCACACTCCACGAGGGCAGCGATCCCCTCTGCCTTGTGCACCGCTGTGCTCTCCGGACTCGACGGGAATCGACTCCGAGCGTCCTCCTTCCCTGTCTCCCTCCCTCGTCATCTCCGTGCTTCTCTTGCCCTTTCCAGTGTCCCTTCCCCGCGGAGCCTCCCTGTCCGCGGTGTGATCAGGTGCAGCGCTCGGGCCGTCGGTCGTGCGGAGCAGCCGGTCCAGGGCGTGTGTTTTCCAGGGTGGTGTCTTGAGGCCCCAGCCGCCCGGGAACTCGAGATGCTAGTTTCTCAAAGCAGGAAGGACTCTCACCTTTCATGTGTGGGCACCTCTTCCGGACCGCCGCAGATGCCGACTTAACGCGGGTCTGCACGCAGATTCCCCGGTTCTTTTCCTCCCTCCTTTTTGGCTTCCGGTGAAGTGAGTTTTCTTGAGGTAGTGCTCTCTCCTGAGAGGCCACATGCTTACCTCTGAATTCCCTTCCGACTGGTATTTCCTTCCGTGTACTAGTCAATCGATAGGACATTTTAGCCTTACTTTCCTCATGGTCCCAGCCTCTTTGTTTTTTTTTTTTTGTTTTCATTTTAATTTTTCCTCAAGTATTTTTTTAGCTGTTTTGTTAAAATTTGTACCCGAGATAGAGCAAACACGAATGTAGATCTTGTCTCTTGTACATGACCAAATATTTGGAACACTACCTAGCATATGTTCACCTGTACCTCGGGAAGTTTTAATGTGAACAACTGGATTGCTGCCCGGAAGAACTGAGGGTTAAAACTGTAATAATAGGCGTTCTTACATGAAAAGTATACAGAAAGTGTTTTAAGCATATAGATCGTGAAAGAGCTGAGCAAAAGGAAGCATAATCTGAATTCAGATAACTTTGTTATCTGAAATGCAGTTATCTGAATGTAGTTTATGGGCGAAGCCAGCAAAGTCACTAAAACATGGTGTAATGAATGGGCGGGAAGAGTATAGATCTTGGGTAGAAAGGTAAAGCCATGCCAGATTATATACCATATTGTATAGATTGAATTGCCCTGTAGTCACTGCGGTCTTATTCCCAGAAAGATTTGAATGAAGGTCAAAAATATTAAAATAAAATTAGTTTGTAATTAAGATTGATTATGCCTACAGTGTTAGAGTTGTGATGAATGAGATGAGAATCTTCTTGAAGCTGGTAAATTTGTGGGTGATTGGCTTGATATGAAGTCCTGGGCTACAGAGGAAGTAGAGTTAGTATTTGCATAGTATTTCAATTCCAAGTTGCATGTGGACATACCTCTCCTCATTCTCTTTGGAGCAGGAGTACATCCAGAACATGCTATATTAACAGGAGTTCTCAGGGCTGCCAACCTTACAGTAGAGGTTGAGTGGTAGTATATTTCTCCTACACAAAAAGAAAAATAATTAACAGGACTGCTGGTTTACTGAATGCAGGAAAGAAGACAGAAATGACCGTAGTGGCTAATAAAGTACAACTGAAAGAATAGGCTCAATAGGAAAGAAAACTAAATGAGTTTTAATTATTACTGAACTTGAAGTGTTCAAAGGTTTATCGATAAATTTTATCTTCAGAATCTTAACTGTCATTTAAAAAGTTAACTTTCAGAGATAGTGGCCCACGTAAGTTTATTTTTAAATTAACACGTGCAGTCTAGGGCTGGTGATAAAGATAAAACAAGTGGGGGAAAAGTGCTTGCTGCCCAAGCTGATGACCTGAGCTCCATCCCCAGAAAGGGAGGAGTAGGAGCTTACCACTCTGAAAGCTGTCCTCTGGATTCCCACACTCAGAATTCCACACTCTCATGTGGCACATGCGCGTTAGTACTTGCTCACACCATGAAAAGAAGTTAACGTAGTCCATAATGCACTGCTCTTGTCAGTTCACGTCTTCAGAAAACTTGTCATTTGAAAATAGTTTCGATAGAGTTAGACATTAGAGTAGTAATGGAATGTGTTTGCACGTATTAAAAATAAAGCAATAGATTGGGTGTTGGTGGTGCATGCCTTTAATCCCGGCAGAGGCAGGTGGATCTCTGTGAATTTGAGACCAGCCTGGTCTGCAAGAGCTAATTCGAGGACAGCCTCAACAGCCACAGAGAAACCCTATCTTGAAAAACTAAAAAAAAAAAAAAAAAAAAAAAAAAAAAAAGAGTAATAGTTATTAATGGATTGTCTTCTAAAAAGAAGAACTTTGTAAAAAGTTAAATGAAAGTAGTTTGTATCATCAGCTGCTTCAAAGGAAAAATACCCCAACTTTATTCCAGTTATTTCCACCTTTTCCACACTTTTTCCTGCCTGGTTCTTGTATTTACAGTAGGGGTTGGAAGCTAATTCTTTTGAAAGGGAAATGTTTGTGTTATGAATATTACTGCAGATTTCTTTGAAATGAACTCACTAACATTGACTAGATTGGTACCTACTATATATATATATTTAGTTCACTGTGTTGATCCAGGTGTAGCAAAGTACAGAGGTCTTTGCCATGAGAGAGGAAGTCTGGAGTAGTTTCCTCATAACTACTGACCCATGCCTTAATACAGATGTGAATTACTTGGGTCCAACATGGTGTTTCTTTGAGATTAGATCTATGATCACATCTAAGGTGAATTTTACTTTATTCTGAGGAAACAGACAAGTTAATATTTGGCTTACACACAAGAAAAGTAGTTTGGGGGAGGTTCATAAGTACTGCTTATAATTATTGGGATCCCCCAAACAGCAGTGTCATTTATAGGGTATCAGCCTCTAAGGCTCTCAGTTAAGTTCAAATTGTGTAGCCCTTTCTTTTAAAGAGAGGTTCTTATTCATACCACCAACCACATGCCACTTATGATCGTGTGTACCATGGGTTAACTGAGAATGGGATTAAGGGAAACTTATGGGAGTGTTTTGTGTGTGGGGGGGGATGTGGAAACTGGAGTCATCTCTATTGCTTTTGGTATACTTAGTGATGATGTTAAGGGAATGAAGAACTGTTGTGAAGCAACAATTTGGGAGATAGCATAGCAATTGTTTAAGACACTAGCAGCATTTTGGGAGAATATCACCAAAGTAATATCACCAAAGTATTTTTTATAGGGAATGGTGCTCTGTGTATTTTAAGGAAATTATTGTTCTCTGTGGTTTAGAAAGTCATACTCTTGGCTTGGAATATGTGAGTTTATTAAGTATATAGCAAGCTATAGTAAGAAAATACTTAACAAAAGATTGGGAGTGATGGCTCAGTAGTTAAGAACAGGTATGCTTATAATTGCTTGTAACTCCAACTCCAGGGGATCCTTCAGGGTCCCAAGGACCCCTGAACTCATGCATATGCACACATATTAAAAAATTAAGCAAAATAAACATTTAAGAAAAGGCATCATTATAGGCTGGAGAGTTAAGTTGAACAGTTAAGAGCATCAGTTGCTCTTCCAGAGGACCTGGATTCAATTACTAGCACCCACATGGCATCTCACAACTGCCTGTAACTCCAGTCCCAGAGGCCCAGTGCTTTATTCTGACCTCTGTAAACACTAGGTGAGCACAAGGAGTACATACATACATGCAGGCAAAACATAAAATAATAAAATAAATCTTAGAAACCCGAAAATCAAAACGTCATCAAATCAGGTACTCAAAACATGTAGCAGAAACCAATTGAGAAGTCCCTTTGAGGTAGCTGGAATTCCCCAGAGAATTCTGGGCAGAGTAGAATGTCTCCTCTAGTGAGACTTCCAGGTAAAAGAACAAATGCCAATATTCATAGCATCCCGCAGAAACTAACTGTGACAGTTGAGGCCAATTTAATGACGCTTGCTATCTACCTGTAATTTACTAATTGTTCATTTACTTTGACTTACTATATATTTAATAAAATCATTCAAAACCAAAAGTGTGACTACTGTAAATCATTCTTCAGACCATGCAAACAATTTTTTTTCTTGGCCAGGCATGGGAGGCTGATGCAGGCGAATTACAAGTTCAAGGTCAACTTCAGTTGATTAGTGAAACTCTAAGGGGGGGAAAGAAAAAGAGTATTTTTGAAATCAGATTTGGAATTTTTTATAGTTCTATAAAACCACCTATATCAATATAATATGTTAGTGTATAAGTATTTTAAAACTTATGTCATTTTAATTTTAGAACCTCTTTAGAAGAGTGTTCTGGTTTGGATGACAGATTATATGATCATCCGATATAGGATTTAGCTCAGTTATTCATGAAAATGTCATAAACATCAGTAGTAATGAATGATTTGTCCAGCCCTGAACTTGTAGAATATGTCCTATGTATCCTTCATATATAATATATGCACCCTGCACTGTCTTTGATTTGTATGTACTTATCTATTGGATCATAGAACTTATGAGTGTTATAATGGTTTATTCATGTCTGTCC